CTCTAGGTAGCAATTAAAATCTTTATTTGCACGGAAAAAACTATTAGATAAATTCCAGGGCTATGTCTTTTTGGTATTTGCAAAGCCAAAGTATAACAAGGATGAAAGTGGTTGTCTTTTAAAGCAGAATTTATAAACTTGTGAATTACCTTCTTAAGAATCATAATTAAGATTCTTTTTGTTTATGTAAAATATGAAAAAGAAAATGTTTGATCATCAAAGTCACTTTCCTGTTTTCTTAGAAAAAAAAAAAAAAAAACTCACCCTGTCAGCTGTGCAGCAGCAATATTAAGTTATCCTAGAATGATGATGTCCTATAGGCAATTCTTGCTGAGGAGCTGAATTTGGTTTTGAGCATCATGAATGCAAATGTGGTCACATTCAAGGGTTGAGAATAATTCTCCTTTATGAAACACTCATTTTCCATAAGGTACTGTCGTATGTGCTTAATACATTTAATAACATATACCATATTTCACACAGATACCATGTTACTATTGTGTTCTAAAAGTAGAAATTGAAATGAGGGGGCAGGTTAAATGGTTGGGGAAAAAAAGTCATCTGTCTAGCAAGCTGAGAAATAAGAAATCTAAGTGGAGAAACACCTGATGTAGAAGCCAGTGATTCCTCCATATTCTTATGTTGTCTGGAAGTTTAAGTATCGTAGTTTGAAGAGATGAATGCTTGCTATTCAATAAAATACCAGTACACTCGGTAGTGTGCAAATGTCAAGGGTATTTTGAAATTTAACAATAATCATGAGTTTGGGGAAGGAATTACTTCTCTGAGGTTCTAAGTTAAGGAAACCTTTGCATCTGGATCAACAGCCATCATTACTACATACAAAAGAGATAAAATGATGAGGCTTTGAATGTCCACAGAGGTAAAAATTCATAAACATACAACTAAAAGATATGAAGAGTTAAACTTATGTAATTGTACTTACACATTAAACCACCCGATGTTGCTGTCGTCCACAAAATATAGTTGTTTAGACCAAAGATATACTACTACGTTGCTTCTCAAGGATTAGGAGTAGCAATATTCTGAGGTCTTTAACATTTCAATGAAAAATGGAAGAAATCAAACAAGGAATATCACAGCCTGTGTGCCTTCCAGTGAAGTATTCGTCGACTTGTAAAACAAGAGAAAGCTAAGATGCTGGTCTCCAGATATCGATATCCGGGATTCCACGGCCTGCTGCTCTGGCTTCTGCTCCTGGCAGCCTGGCAGGCTGGGAGCGACTCCATGAAAGTGATTTTTAATTATAAGGAAATTTAAAATACTAATTTTAGTTTAAATTAACATTAGAAGTGTGAAGAGGAAATTCATTTGGCCTTTCAATATATGATTTAATATATTAATATATACTGACTTTCATTTAATAGTTTCTTAGTTATCTTAAACAGGACTGTCTTGGCTTGTATATACCAAGAAATGTAAGCCAATGAAATTGTATGGTGGTAAAACTACCCTATCAGGTATTTTTTTCAGAAACTAGTTGTTACCTGATACTTATTGTTTTATTTTTTATTTTAGTTTACTAATTCCAAGTAATTACCAAATTCCAATGTATCTTCTTTGTAATCTTCACTCTGGTTCTTAGGGCAATTATTTTTTATTTTCCTCTTTATCTTCAGTATGAGGATGAATTGTTATTCAAAATGTGCTTTATAAATGGCTTCCAACAAAAACTGAAGTTTTTATTCAAGTTTAGAAATATCACAAAAGATAATTATGGCAGGAATTTAAATATAGCATTTCCTTCATTGTTATTGCTTTCCATATGTTAGACATCATAGATGATAAACTAGTGGAGAAATAAAAATGTGTTTGTTCTCATATCAAATATGTTTATGAAATATATACATTACCCTCTCATATCTGGAAAACATCTCAATAATCTTCTTTTACATGTTTATTTTATTTTACTGGTGTTTCTGATTGAACTCAAGGCTGTCTGCATGTTTTTTATGCTCTATGACTGAGCTACAGCCCCATCCCTATTCCCGAAGATCTTACATCAATTATGAAAGCCTCAGTTCTGAAGATGCATTCGTGTCTCAAGAAATACTAACATATACTCATACAATTTCAAGTCTTATAGTATGAATGTTAAGAGGAATTTTAATCTTCTAAGTGAAGATGTCCTGGTTTGGCCCTTTACTGTGAAAGAGAATTCTCATCTCTTTCTCTCTCTCTCTCTATCTCTCTCTCTCTCTCTCTCACACACACACACACACACACAACCACATATTATAGTTGTGGATATCTTTGCTTTATGGTTGCTCATTTTTTTTTAACAAGCATGTTTGTGTACTGAATGCTGTATTTTCAGGTCTATGACTATTTTTTCATTAATCATTGTTCTCATGTTACTAAAAATTTTTACCCGTTAGTTTCTTATTAAACTGAGAATAATAATGTCTCTTTAAAATATTCAGCTAAAGTAGATACAGTTAAAAGCTTATTTAAAGTCAACATATGCCTCACACTTTTCTTCTTCCTGAAAGTATATATTATGATTTCCCCTTATAAAACTCAAACTTGTGTCTTTTAATTACTTTGTACTTGAGTGTTTTGTGCACTTCTGTATTTATAAATCTCCAAGCCTGTCAATATCTGTCATTCTTAGCTTCTTTTTGACTTGTTTATCTAATTCCTCCTTCTTACATCTATCTTCTCTATTAGCTCTTTATAAAGTTAGTGTGTAACTTCTGCAGAACAATCTTATTGAAAAATATTCCTAAACCTGAGCTTTCAGTAAAATGTTAAATTTTATTTTAATCAATTTAATCTTATTTATTTTACTTTGCCCTCTTTTGGACATGTTTTCTTTAAATATACAAGTATTCACAAAAATCCTATAACCTGTAGCACTTTACTGCAAGCAAAATATGCCTAAAATCCAGGAAAAAGGAGGGACAGAAAGGAAAAGCATTGAGGGGAGACATAAGAAAATACAAGTTTTAATGATTTCAGACAAGTTGTCACTGACTTTTAAAGATAAGCATTAATATGAGTCTTATCATGAGTGTTCATTAGATCTTGTTGACATAGTACTTGTGACAGTATGCTTTGCAATGAGTAACCAGTGCATAACTTTATTGGCATACTATGCTTATCAGCTGGGTGAAAGCCATGGAATTTGGGGGATTTATAAATTACATATTTTTCTCAATTTATATAATTTATTGCAGTTAGCACACTGTTTAAAAATTCATCAACACACCAATAGTACAAAAATAAACAGCATTATGTTATTCCACCCTCAGGAAAATAAAACATACTATGATTGCCAAAGATAGATGCCAGTTTAAGATTTAAAACAAAGCAAGAATGTGAAACTAAGCAAAGGAAGAAACAGTCACTCACAATGACCACAAAATGTACTTACTTGATAATACAGTTCTTCAAGCCAAAAGTGGAAAGGATTTTCATTTCAACATGGAGCCATCAGCAAAGAGACTGGATCACTTCAATCAGCAAACATAAGGCAGTTTTTAACATTTTTCAGTCATCTTACAGTTTAGTTAACTCCATTTAATGTACTTTTTGTTCTTTTCTTTATGTAATATGTTGGTCTATAGTTTATTTTTCTCACAATAGAAATAATTAGAAGTAATTAGAACTGTAAATCCTTGATGTAGATTTATAATCATCTTTTATTTTGAAAAGTGCTCAAATGAAGACTGAAGGTTACTTTTACATAAAAACTAAAGTATGCTTGGGTATCTATTCACACTTGTTTACTTTAGTGGAGAAATTAGGATTTCTTAATGGTTTCCATCACTGGAAGGATTCAGATATTAGAAAATTTGTTCCTTACAGTCTTGAGAATGATTAAAACCTTTTTCTCCTTTAAGACAAAACTGATAGACTGTGTTGTGAATTGATAAAATATAATGCAAGCTTCAGTGTAATTTTTTTGCAGTTGAGATAAAAACAGAAAAAATAATATTTAGTGAATGAAGCATACAATAATCTTTATTTTCCAGTCTCTTCAAATCAACTCTGAAGTGAAATGAATATAAACTCACAGTTGCAATTAGAATCACCAATTAAAATGTTTGGATGAAAAGATTACCTTTGGCAAATAAGCAATGAATATAGTGACATCAATGCATCAGTGTCCTGTGGAATAGAAACAACAGTATTCACTGTGAGCAGATGCAGTGATTGACACATTTTTAAAAGGAGACAAATACACTTTGACTTTCCAAAAGTCAGTGCTGGGTGAATTAATTAACATCAAAGCAAATACACTGTTGGGTGAACTAGTTAAGTGACTTACTAGCATTGATCTGAAATCTCATTTTGTTGAGGTGGTAACTCAGAAAATTGATATCTTGCATCATGCTCTGCACAATTGAACCAAATGTTCATGATAATTTAACACAGTTAAAAGAAGTAAACACGAAAAAGTAGAACATATTAGGAACAGACTTTAGAAGAGGCTATATCTTAATGTCAGTTTCTTAAAAATCTAAAAAAATCAGCATCACTAGTATCCTACAAACCTGGTCTTTTTCATATATCTATACACGATAATATGGGTAGTGTAGTAGATAGTGTACTTTCTCTTGGATGTCTATATACAAAATAAAACTCTTCTTGGCATTCTAAATGTAAGACAAAACCACTTTTAATAAGCTACTGGTAACAAAATGAGAGACTTAAAAGTTCGCAAAGAAAAATATGGATAAATGTGAAAGCATTGAGAAAGGTAAGTTGAGTGAAGTAGTATGAACTAAAATGCACTTACATTTTGAGCCACAGGAGGTCGCTGATCTCCAAGCAGAGAGTTTTTTTTTTTTTTTAAACAAGAAAATCAGATTATTCGCCCACCGGAAAGAAGCTCCACTGTTTCCGTGCTTTAGAGAATATAAGCATCCACATTCTTAAGATTATCTGGGACTTCAGAGCAAGAAATTAAAAAGGTCTTCAAAGAATTACACCTTTCTGGCCCTTGAATGTTTTACTAACCAAAGACCGACACGATGTTAGCTGCCAGATCTGGTGGCCAGACTGCTGGGCGACGTCTGCTGCTGTCTCTTCTGCTTCTCGGGACCTGGCAGACGGGGAGAGGCCAGCTGCGCTACTCGGTCCCCGAGGAGGCCAAGCACGGCACCTTCGTGGGCCGCATCGCGCAGGACCTGGGGCTGGAGCTGGCGGAGCTGGTGCCGCGCCTGTTCCGGGTGGCGTGCAAGGAGCGCGCGGACCTCCTGGAGGTAAACCTGCAGAATGGCATTTTGTTTGTGAACGGTCGGATCGACCGCGAGGAGCTGTGCGGGCGGAGCGCGGAGTGCAGCATCCACCTGGAGGTGATCGTGGACCGGCCGCTGCGGGTTTTCCACGTGGAGGTGGAGGTGAAGGACATTAACAACAACTAGCCGGTGTTTCCAGCCACACAGAAGAATCTGTTTATTTCTGAAGCTAGTGCTCTTGACTCTCGTTTTTCACTAGAGGGCGCCTCGGATGCAGACGTCGGGGATAACTCTGTTCTGACTTACAGTCTGAGCCCCAATGAGTATTTCTCGCTTGAAGCACCAACAGACGAGGAGAAGCTAAAACCGTTGGGATTAGTGGTAAGAAAACCTCTAGACAGGGGAGTCGATTCAGAGCTTCTTCTGATGCTTAAAGCGACGGATGGAGGAAAACCAGAGCTAACAGGCTCAGTAGAGTTACTAATCACAGTGCTTGATGTAAACGACAACGCCCCGGTGTTTGACAGAGCACTCTACCCTGCAGAAGTACTGGAAAATGCAAGAAATGGTACGCTGGTGATTAGACTTAACGCCTCGGATTTGGATGAGGGTTCAAATAGCCACATTCTTTATTCCTTCACAAATGATGTCTCCCCTAAGGGAGAAGCCGTGTTTTATATAGATTCAGCCAGTGGGGAAATAAAAGTAAATGGAAAAATAGATTTTGAGGAAATGAACTTATGGAAGATTCAAGTGGAGGCAGTTGACAAAGGCAATCCTCCAATGTTTGGGCACTGTAAAGTCTTGATAGAAGTCTTGGACATCAACGATAATGCTCCAAAGTTAGTAGTAACATCATTAGCACTTCTTGTTCAAGAGGATTCTCCACCAGGCACCGTCATTGCCCTGATCAGCATGTCTGACCACGACTCTGGTGTCAACGGACAGGTGACTTGTTCCCTTATGCCTGATGTCCCCTTCAAGCTGGTGTCCACGTATAAGAATTACTATTCACTGGTGCTGGAGAGAGCCCTAGATCGTGAGCATACTTCTGCCTACGAGTTGGTGGTGACCGCGCGGGATGGGGGCTCGCCTCCGCTGTGGGCCTCGGCCACCGTGTCCGTGGAGGTGGCTGACGTGAACGACAACGCGCCGGCGTTCGCGCAGCCCGAGTACACGGTGTTCGTGAAGGAGAACAACCCGCCGGGCTCCCACATCTTCACGGTGTGCGCGTGCGACGCGGACGCGCAGGAGAACGCGCTGGTGTCCTACTCGCTGGTGGAGCGGCGCGTGGGCGAGCGCGCGCTGTCGAGCTACGTGTCTGTGCACGCGGAGAGCGGCAAGGTGTTCGCGCTGCAGCCCCTGGACCGCGAGGAGCTGGAGCTGCTGCAGTTCCAGGTGAGCGCGCGGGACTCTGGTGTGCCTGCCCTGGGGAGCAACGTGACTCTGCAGGTGTTTGTGCTGGATGAGAAGGACAATGAAGGTTGGTAGTCAGAGGCAATACTGCAGTATCAATCAGAAACATACATGTGGAGACACCCTTAAATTCAAAGCACAAAGAAGTATGAATATTCCTACCCTAAAACATATACATAAAGCCTCATGACAGGTACTAAGAATAGAAGAAAAATTATTATGCTCAAATAACCCTTCCAAATAAGTAGAAGAGTTCAATAAATTAAACTTGAAGAGAATAGCAAGGAGTACAATGGAAAATAAAGCAGAATTGACATCATATTAAAAAATAAAGAAAAAAGTTACCTATCTTAGCACTTGAAGGTTAAGAAGAAAATGATCTTGAAAATAGGGAATTAATGGGGATATGTAAAATGCTTTCCAAAGGGAAAGCTAGAACTCTACTTCAACCATCATCTCAGAAAGTATGCAACTGATTGTAAAGAAATAAAAGTATAAAATGAAGTTGACTCAACTATGCTCATCTCCATTGGTGACAGATAGTATATACCTTATGCAAAGTGAATAACTTAAAAATACTTAACCTTAAATTATAAAATTAAATATGGTAGTAATTTTGAATATATAAACATAATGAGTGAAAGGCATCATTTAGAATAAGAACAGGAAGAATAAACCTGCTGCAAAATTGAGAAGATTTGAACCCTGCCCACTTTCTACATTTCTCCTTGTGATCCTTCACCCTGGCAGAAATAGCTTGCCTAATTTAGATAATGAGCTTGAAATGAGCTTTATACAAGCCACATCAAGACAAGGGCAAAAACAAACAAACATTGAAATGAAATAAAAAATCGGTGAACTTCTAGGGGACTGGCAATAATAGGCACAGAATACATCCCAAGATTATGTACTTACATTCTCAAAACTTCCCTGTTGGACTTTACCATCCCCTGAACCCAAAATAGGAGGAACACCAGGGCTGAAGGTTATAAGGTCAGTCTTGGTCTGGCCCTCACCACAGCACACCCTCTGTCGCTTCTGCTGCAAGTACGACCAGCTACCTATCCTGTTCGAGCACAGCAGCATGGGCTTTCCAGGGGCACACGTGCCTTCGCTGGGTGTTAAGAAGCACTGCAGTGTCGGATACAGCAGCAGCATGAGCACCAACAGGCTGGACACCGTGCAGATGGTGATAATCAAGTACACATGGACATCTACCAGCGTTACCTCTGGTATCGAAGGAGCCACTGATGTCCTCGAGGAAACCTTAGGCACCTGGCCACGCTCCACCAGAGACACGAGCACAGTGGCAGTGGCTGTCAGCACAGCGTCCCCGTGGTCTTTTACTAGCACCAGTAGTCACTGGCGAGGCTCATCAGCATCATCTAGTGCATGCATCGTGCTGATCTCGCCTGTGTACAGACCCACGCGAAATGGGCTGCCAGCGCTGCTGGCGCCTTGGACCCCAGGAACAATGGCTTCAGTAAGTGAACTAGTGTCGCTATCAGTGGGCGTGGGCCACGTGGTGACGAAGGTGCATGCCGTTGACGCTGACTCTGGCTACAATGCCTGGCTGTCCTATGAGCTGCAGGCATCCGCGGGTGTCGCGCGCAGCCCGTTCCACGTGGGTATATATATTTGCGTATGGGAGGAGAACCATGTAATAGAGTGAAGTTAGAAGAAATGCTGATGTGTTAGAGAAAGTTTTCACGTTGAAATATAAATATTGGCAGAACAGTTTCCATGAAGATGAAGATTAGGAAAACCTTCAGAAAAGGGGTATCCATGCCCTATACTCTCATTTGTTGTCTGGGAATCTCTTCATCTATAACCACAGAACAATAACAAATATTGATTATTGTATATAAACCACGTTATTATGTTTTGTTTCTATTTGTTAGACATGACATGAAGGTAATTTGATTATTCATTAAATCTATAAAATAATTTGCAAACTATTGTACATATAACTATCCAAAATTTAAATATATGACAAGAGAAGTGGAGATCTTTATTTTTCTCATTCAGTGCCATTCAATTCATAAAGGACAGAGATGATATTGAAAGTATATCTTTCAGAAAACTGGCCATTTAATTTTTTTTGTTTGTTTGTTTGTTTTGTTTTGTTTTTTTTGGTTTTTCTCCGGTACCGGGAACCGAACTCACGACCTTGCGCTTGCCAGGCAGGCGCTGTGCCGCTGAGCTAAATCCCCAGCCCCCAAACTGGCCATTTAAAAAACATTAATTGGGGCTGGGGATTTAGCTCAGCGGCACAGCGCCTGCCTGGCAAGCGCAAGGTCGTGAGTTCGGTTCCCGGTACCGGAAAAAAAACCAAAAAAAAAAAAAAACCAAAAAACCAAAAACCAAAAAACAAAAAAAAAAAAAAAAAAAAAAAAAAAAAAAAAAAAAAACAAACCAAAAAACAAAACATTAATTGTAATATAGATCTTTCTTCAGTAAATCTTTTCTATGTGGAAGCATAGTTTTAGCTATGAAAATGAAGTACAAGGTAAGCACAGGTGAAAGCTTTGTGTTTTGCTTATAAATTTATATTAATCATTAATTTTGGAGAATACCATATTTAAGGTGGTCATCAAGACCTTTATGTTGAATGATTTCCCTTACATGATTTTTCATGATTTTCATGATTATTATTACTTGTTTTAATCAATGTCACAGTGATAAGCATTACATTTTCTACCAGTGAATTAGAGTTACCTTATAACAGATGAGTTCTTTAGAAGTGACATAAGTAAGAATTGCTTAACACATAAGAAAAATCCAAGTCAGTTTCTAATATTTTTGCAGAACCCCAAAGTCAAATGTCATATACAAAGATGACCTTATTTTCTCTATTGTGAATAAGTATGATTTATTTGATAAGTATAAGTGGTGACAATGATTTCAGGGATCCTGAACATGGTCACCGAATTCAAGAAATGCTTACAAACACTGCGCACTTTATCAATAGCCTTAAAGGCATTGGTTTTTCATAACAATCTTTAGATGTCTGCAGGTCATTCTGTATTTAGTTTTCAGTTTTATTGTTGTTTGAGAGGCTTATTCCAACTGCACAAGTGATTTGGGGCCAAATAACTGTTTACCTTAATAAGTCATGGTAGAGTAAGGTCGGTATCATTGAGAAGATCCTATAGTTTTGTTCATACAGTGAATGGATATTGAACTTCTAGTTTGATTTTGAAGAACTTCTTTGAGATTGTCAGAATGTTTTCAAAATTTACTTTTGTGTTGTTAATGTTTTGAGAAATAATAATATTAGACTTCTATGGAATACTGGATGATGTGGACTATTAGACCATAAAAGTGTACTCTGCTATATTAACTAGCAGGACAAACAGATCGAACTTAAGACTAATCAGCTTGATTTAGTGAAGGTCACACATAAAGTTCCTCACTCTTCAACTGATTTTTAAAAAATCTATGTTATCAATGATATTTTTATGACTTTTTGGCATTAGTTTACAGACAGGTATTAAGCCTAACCCATTAATGAATTCAAAGGGAGCATAATCTCTTCTTGGAGGTTGCTGAGATGGGTGACATGTGAAATGCCACAACCAAAATACCAAAAGATGAGTTATTGATTCACTCACCACATCAAACTTTTTGTGGCTTCATGTTCACCCAATATCACTTTATATATTTACAACATACTGCATTATTAGAAATCAACACACCTAAATTAACACCTTGTTTTAATTAAAACATGTGATATCATCTCTACAGGTAAAATTTCTCATATTAATTTCACTAACTTGGAGGATTCCACTTTGTATATAACATCTCAATTTACACTTCTCATAATAAGTGGTCAGAGGTCTGTTGCTTTTTGTTCAAAATAAATTTGACATACTTCAAATATTATGTTAAATCTACTCTCTTATTTTCCAGTCTAATGCTATGTTTAGATTAAAGGCCCACAAGATCAATTATTTTACAGGTGCATCATAGGATTTGTTGTCATAAAAGTTTGTATGTCTGCTTCTTTAATTTTTTAACATAGAATTTTGCATTTACTTTAATAAGCATTTTAGTGTTATGACAATATTGGGAAAAGTGTAAAGTTGAGATAAAGCAGGATAAAATCTCCAATTAGTATAGACTACATGGATAGTTATACGGCCAAGATCAAGACAAATATTAAGAGAAATGTATGGTGGTAATTTTTTCTTTCAACATTGCAATATTTATAGATTGGAGATGACTGAGATAGGAATATTGCTTGATCACAGAAGCTGGAGCACAGCCTGGGCAACACAGTGAGCCCTTGTCTCTTGAAAGAAAAAAAAACCTATATGTAATAAAATATTCAAGCTAGAATGATATGTATTCTGAGTCATGTTTGCTGTATCCATTTTCCCCCTAAATCTTGTGAAGATATGAGAGAAAAAGTGCAGCCAAAATATAACATCAGGCAATAAAAACTCACATCAACAACTATCATTTTCCACTTAGTATTTTATGAAACACCACTTCTGAACACTAAGGTTATGTGCCATTTAGCTGAATTACTTATTTTCTATGTTTAAATCACGTCATGAGGCACTTACAGAAGATGTAATTAAAAGTAGCCTCCCTTGTTTTGGATGATCTTATGATCATAAGTGGCTCCAAACCATTTTCATGAATATATTGATTGGGTTTAGAAACAGTGTTTTTGATTTGCAAATGTCAAAACCATACAGATATTTTGTGGGTGATTTTATTTCATTGAATGGTAATAAGATTCATTCTACAGTTGAAAAAATGACTATTATATCATTGACTACTACATAAAGTGTCATTTTGATATATTATGATATTAACTAGGCAACTTACGTGAGAAATCATGCATATCAAATACAAAATTTATCTAGAATAATAAACTTTTTCTTTGTGAATTCTGTTTTAAACCATCACTTTTGGAAATATATTGTTTTATGAATATATATTGTTTTCTAAATATATTCTTATTGTTCTGCAGTGGCTATAATTTACTTGTAACAGAATACAGTGAAAATAATAACAATTCAGATCTGAAGAAATAGATGGGATATAGTTTACAATAATGTTTCAAATGTGGCTGGAGGAGAGCATTTTGAATGATTCCTCATAAAGAAATGACAAATGTTTGAGGTGATGGGCATACTAATTACCATGAGTTGATCATTACTCAATATATAAATGCATTAAAGGTGCCCACTGGAGATCGGTCTGCCCTCTGAAGTGGAGGCCCCAGAGCTCAGACCCATCCTACCAGTTAGTCTAACAGGAATGAGGGGGCCCGGGGCATACTCTGCCTTCTCCCTCTGACCAGACTGTCATCTCTGTGGAGGAGCCCTGGGTAATCATGACTATGGAGGAACAAGAAAACAGCCTGCTGCTAGACACAGGTGCATGTCTCTCGATCCTTCTTTGCAACCTGGCCTTCCTTCCAGCCATCACACCTCAGTGACAGGAGTCACTGGTGAGGAGGTAATATGCTATTTTTGACAGCCCTTAGGCTGTAACTACTTGTTAGATCTTTCTTGCGTATCTCTGTCTTCCTGAGAAACCACTTTGAAGATACCACCATGTATTACAGCAGCCATTGATATTTTGCTACTAATCTGTCCATAACTCTGTAA